TAAATAGCTTCCATTGTGTCACAATGAGTTGCTATTAGTAATATTTTAAAAATATCTGAAGGGTAAACATAGAAATGTATCAGCTCCTAAGCAATAAGTATTTTCTCGTTATCCAAAAGAAACAAACTAATAATACAGAAATCAAGGAAGAATATCTGTTAAATGTAATATTCCTTTAGTAGGATATTATTCAGAATTTCTGCTGAAGTATCAGCAACTCCGGGCAGTTCACTGTAATGAGAAAGTAACACACTTAGAGAGTGTTAGATTTCTTTATATTCTTTACAAGTAATCCTGTATTTGCCTAGCAGTTTCTGTTCATAAAACTAGAACTGAAACTGATTTCTTGGCATTATCATCACATCTTTAAAATGTGTCCATGAATTCTGAGAAAGTCTGTGCGAATAACTGATTTTTATTTATCAGATTGGCTGCCAAACTGAAAGGAAAGAAATTATTAGGGTAACAAAAGAGAAAACAATGGGGGTTGCTGTTTTATCCAGTAGCCAGATAGTTTACAGTCTGCAAGGGGAGACCCCTTGTTAGTCCTAGGCTCAAGCTTCCCAGAGATCTGATCTAATCAGACTCTTGCAGGGTGTTTGAGGTCCTCTTCTGATTTAGTTGTTCCACTTTAAGAATGTTAAATGTTTATCTGAACAGAGATAAAAAGCTGAGGGTGCCCCACCTCCCCAGTTTCTGGTTGACACATATGGCTTGAGTCATTCTGACTCAGTAAATGCTTACATGAAACAAAATGAGGAGGTTTATTCCAAAATCCCTACTAGTCTGAGTGGAGCTCCTCAGAGAGGGAATTCTCCCAGATGAAGGCACTAGTGCCTGGACTTCTGGATGAAAGGCAACATCACTTCCACCTTCCTTTTCTTGCTTATGAATCTAGCCAGTCACATCCTACAGTTTGCGTTCACACTGCTTTATGAAGTTTAGGAACCGTCAAAAGAAAATGTTGACCTCTAAAACATTCTATTTAATGTGAATACTGTATCATTGCATTCCCTTAAACTCAATTTTTTGCCATGTTCTGTTGAGAACAGTGTCTAGAAGATTAACATTTTCTCTACAGTTTTAGTAAGTTCCTCTGTAGAATATGAATGATAACTTTAGTATAGTAAAATTATGTCTTTTTAAAAACCTTCTTTAAAACAATCATTGTGCTGGTGTTTTTTTTGTCATATGTTTTCTGATCCACCAACCGCTATTTATGAAGTCTGAAACTGTCCAACAGCCCTCATATCTGCACAACTATTTTGTTTTTGCCTTGATATTCAGCAGAGTTGACTTGTTTATCTTTCCTTCAGGCTCCCTCATGTTGGACAGACATGTTCTTAGCAGGAATGATTGCACTCCTTGAAGAAAACTTAAGAAACAAAGTTGTAAGCAGCAACTCTAAAGCAGAGTTAATATTGTTAAGGTTATCCCATCATCTCCAGATTCTTGAATATTTGGTCCTTGACTAAAATTTAGTCAGTTTGTAGTTCTCTTGACAAATTACAAAACAGCACATGCTTCCTAGCTGGACTACATGTGTCTGGCAGCCTGGATATGTTTGTACTTCAATCAAAATGCAAAGTCCATCTGAATAGCATGGTGATACATACTTCATTGGTGTTAATATTGACTTAGCTCTGAAGCAGACAAGGCAATCATTTGCTGTGCAACATCTCAGGTGTTTTAAACAGCTTGATTGAGAATCATATTCTCATGTAGAAATGTGGAGGAGGAATCAAAAATTCATATAAAGAATATAACTTCTTACTTATTCCTGTACATTTGAATAGTAGTATCAACATGACAATAAATTTGGTAGGAACTTCTATAAGAAATTGATTTTTAAAAAAATGTTATTTCTTAAAGATTAAACTTTCATTTGGCTTCCTAGAGGTGTTTAGCCTACTTTACCAAAGAAAGGAGATTTGTGCAATCATAGCACATACGTGCCTCATTAATAGGTTTTGAGCACATCTGCTGATTTGAGACAAATTTGATAAAAAGGTAGATACACTTTTAGTGTAAGTAAAAGCTTAAAATTTTTGTAAAGTAACTGCTGGGTAGAGAGTACCTGTAGTGAAAGTTAGAATGAAGAGACGCTCATTCCATCCAGGAGAGAGAGCTGAGAAATGCCACAACTGTGGCTTCCATCAGTTTGCAGGCAAGAGCCAGGTTTCATTTGTTGTGATCCTCACAGACCTGAGGGAAAGCACCGTTATTATCCCAGTAACTCCTGAACACTGAGGGCAAGGATGGCACGTGAGTGTCTGAGTTGGCTCCTAAAGCAAAGTCCATGTGACAGTCTGTGTCATTCTGTTACATCTAAAATTTATTAGCTGTTTATCACAAACAGAATTATTCTTCCGACTTGTGTATTACTTCTCTGCATCCTACAAGTATTCTTAAAATAATAATAGTCTTACGTAAGTCTCAAACTAGAACTTAGAGCTTTTTTTGCATTATACAGCATATGGAAGAAGGAGGGAAGACACCATTTCTCTGCTGACCTCACTTCAAGTTGATTATCTTTGTTTTCTTTGCTTTTTCTCAACATCCCATAACGCTCCATTTCCTCTCAGTATTTCCTATTATTATCTCAGTTTCCACTGTTGTGTAAGTGCATAAAACTAGTGAAAATATCCTTTATTTTGTCTCTTCAAATTCTGTGTCTGGCTGATGTTACTTTTCATGCCAACTGCAGTAGAGATGATACTTCTGTGTTGGAAACCCACATAATGGGCTGGTAGCAATGGAGACCAATGTCGTATCAGAGCCTGTAGCAATGAAGGATTATAGAGCTTAACCTTAAACAACAGGGGGAGTTATAGGAGAGTGAAGTTTGACGGACGCTTTTTTGATCTTTGAGTGATGATTTACAGAGAGAAATTAGAATTTTCATATGATATTGCAAATAATACTATTCCATTGATACCAGCTGAAAATTCTTGTGGCCTAGGACAACAGAAATGCTATTCTGGTGTTACAACAGCTGAAAAATAACTTAATTATATGAACAACCAGTATTAAATCACAAATAACAATGCTATGGCAATAAAATCCATCCTTACAAAAAATACAGGTAAGCAGACACCGCATAGAATTCTTTAAGGGCTCTAGATAGTAGCATTCTGCAGCCCACAGATTTCTAACAAGTTTTTATGTGCCTGCAGCAGACATTTGAAGGGTGACTTCCTTAGTTGTGCTAATATATTAGTACAAATCTATGTGCAGTAAAAAACAATTTTTCCAGACCTTAAATATCTAGCAAAATACTCAAGCCCTAAACAATTTGTGGTTTGTAGTTAACTTCATTGTCACAAACAAAACATGTCAGACTAGCAGTTTTCTCTAGTGCCCCACTTCTAGTATATGGTTTTACTGGGGAGCATTAACAATGAATCAGTCGACCACTCTGCTTTTATTTAGACAGGTGGAGTACAGATATTAAACTTCTACAGTAAACAGATACCTATCTGAATGTGACAGAATTTTTAAAAATGGTATTTTTTCATGTTTTCTAAACTAATGTCAACACTGTGCATATCCTTTACTACAAGCCAGGATTACTTACCAGATCTGCCAGTCCTCAAAATTAGTTTTTTAAAAGGCCATGTACAAGTCAGTCAAAAAATAGCTCATCCCTTTGAAGGTTTGAGACAGGCTAATATTTTACTTTTCAGGAAAGAGAAGGATAAAATATCAAGAAGCAGTGGTATATATGGAGCAGTGATACTTGAAGGCAATTTTCTGTTCAGAACTACTGTTCTAGAGAGGGCTTTCACACAGTGCTGCAACTTAGGTTATTGGCATGGACAAAAAGGTAATTTTTAACTAAAATAATCTTCTGGAAGTTAACCAAGTGGAATTGACTTACAGATTTTAACAACACACCTTCTATGCTGTGTGGACTTAAACTGCAACTTTCAGTTTGACAAAATATGAATTAGCTATAAAATGCCAATGCTCTGACAAAATACATAAAAAAATGCACCTGTGAAAAATTAGGCATTAATTTTAAACAGTGTCTAGAGGCTTAAGCTACAGGACTGCTCTTTTATTTAGTAGCAAAGTACTCACTTGGGAAACTTGTGATATAATTTTAGAGCAGTTTCTCAGATGAGTTTTCTATTTCAACAGCTAATTGAAAACAATTTGCAGAAGCAGCCACGTTCATTCACGTTGTTAACCACTTAATGATCTATAATAGGGAAAGAGATCTTGCTTCAGTGGACTCTTATAGTCATCTGATTCATTTAGAGTATTTTCAATTTGGTATAATTTTGGAGAGGAATAAAATATATGTACCTCAAACTTGTTCTTTTAAACATCAGAAATATTTAAAGCAATATACTTCCAGAGTCCAAATCAAATATTCTGGTGTCCGTTAACAGAACATAGCTTCCTCACCATATATATTGTGCTAATTGGATTAAAAAAATATTTCATTTTACTGATTTATACTGTAGCATATTAAAATAAAATGTATTCAAGTTAGGTTTCTGCCATGTCTTTTCCCAGCTATTTACTGGTTTGGTTGCATTTCTACTCAACTGTACTTTGAAAGTGGTAACACTGAACATAGATAGCTAACGTTGTCAAATCTCAAATAGCATTGTAAATGAGAAGACAGCTAAACTTACTGAACAATATTACAGGAAAAGCAAAAACTTGATGTCTTATATGTCAGAATTGCATAAAAGGATGTGTGTTAGATGAGAATTGCTTCCATGTGGACCCACTGCTAGGATGAGGACCTCCACCAGCTCCTTGGGATAGGATCAATTCTCTTGGGTATTTTTTCAGTTTCCAGAACAATACTTTGAAGGCCATTATGATGAACTGATCAGCTATAGGTACCCTTTTGCACTGAGCAGTTATCTTTGGGTATAAAGCTAAATATTAATGGAATACAAAATATTTACAGAAACAGTAGTAGCATCAGTAATCAGTATCTGTGGTACTAATCAGGATATTTATCATTTTGTACTTTTCAGGAATAGTGGAAAGTGTTTTGGAAATGAAATAGTCTACAGTTATGAAAGTACAATGTATGTGTGTCCACACCTAGGAACAAATCAAAGGTAATGTAAAAATACAAGGGAAACGTTTGCATTCATTTATTTTTTCAGTTGTAGTGGGGTGGGGTTTTTTTGTTTTGTTTTGTTTTGTTTTTTCCCCTGGGGTGGGTCAGTTGTTAAGGCTCTAATTGACTGAACACAGCATTCAGCAGAATAGAACAGGATTCAATTATTTTTAAGTTAGCTATTTGAAACTATAGAAATCCTAGTTTGCTAGAATGCAGTCCTGGTTCTTTTTATGGGAAAGCTAGAATGGGAGGCAAATGTAAAGAGTGCCTATTTATTTCTGAGTAAATAAGAATCTGGGGGTTTGGCTCAAGGGTAAAACAGTTCTATTCCAGTATATAGTTTTGGGGGATGTTGAAGGCTGAAAAAAGGTAGGTTGAAAAAAAAAAAAAAATTGAGATTGATAATAATTTCTATTTTAATAGCTTCTGTCTCAGCAATTAAAAAACCTAAAGTGAAAGATTGTATCGTATTAATAAAAACCTACACTTGACAATATAAGGGAATATGATTAGTTTTTCATAGAACAGATCTCGATCTCATGAGAAACTGGTCTGAGCTTAACTTTCCATGGTTAGGCATCTACTTACCGTAGAGCTTCTGACTAAAATGTTTTCTAGGCAGAGGGGCAGACTGTTTGCCTACGTCTGGTTTCCTAATACCGAGTTAAAAAAAAATTACAGTTCTACCTGTTCACAGATTGAAATTTATATTGCTAGTACCTGCAAAATTTAAGAGCCACACAATAACATAAAATCTATTTGTGCTCTTAATAGAGGAGATGTATTGTAGAAATCTCTGTTTTCCAAATCAGTGATCCCATTTTTCCTCCAAACTTGAATTACAGAAGATACTGAGAAAACAGTATCAGGTGCCATAAATTAAAATCCTGTCTGAAGAGAAGTGCATGAAGCAACTGTATTAAGCAACTAGAAATTAAGACAGATTCAGAGTAGCAATAGTTTTGATGACATCAGTCTTGAGTTATGCTTTTCTTTCATGAACTATTCCATATAGATGTAATACAAAGCATCTTCAAAATTTTGTCATAGTGAAAAAACCCAATTTATTTAGTAGTCTTTCTGGCTAACTACTTTCTTTTTATCAGTCCTGAAGAAGTCAATCTTCCATATGTAGCATATTGAAACTTACTTCCATTTCCTAATTCCCAGTAGTTACCATCAGTGCTAAGAACACCCTGCACCTGATTTCCATGTTTTTGTGAAAAACAAGATCTTAATTAGACTTCATGCTCACCATTTGAGAAATACTTTAATTCTTTAACCATTTTCAAGGAAATGACCTCTCCAATGCAAACATTATGCTTGATATCTGATTACTCGTGTTGGACCTTTTTGTAAGGTTTGTTGAAAAAGTGTACATTAGGAGAATTTTAAGGAATACTCTTTAAAATAAGTCTTCTTTTTTGACTAGTGGAAGGCTTAGATGCTATTCTGGTGGTACAGCTGTCCCTGAGACACAACCTCATGAGGCTGAAGAACACAGTGAGGAAGAAGGGCCTCAGATAATGAGGAAAAAAACTTTTTAAATGCCCTTGATGTGCTTTACATCTTCAGTGGTCAAGATACAGAATAAGAGATGGCTGAATGGAAGCTAGAACACAGCAGATAGCTGGTTGGTGACAACCTAACAGACATGAGAGAAGATACATGTGAGATGAAAATCATCTTCTACAGCAGCAGTCCCAGGTGGACTGTTGTGATTTACAGAGCAATCAAGACTGTAGGAACCAGTGACTGACACCCTGCCACTGACCTGATCTTTGTCTCTAAGAGCAACTGGCAGCAGAAAAGAAGGTAGGTAATTTATTGTTGATTAGGCAGTGCTCTTGCTTTTACTACACAAGATGAATCATGTATTTCAGTTTGCTTCAGCAACTCACAACTTAATTTCATGTTCTTTTTGACCACTGTATAATTAATTTTACTTATTCCTAAAGCAGCCTACCTCTATGGTTGCTGCTAATATGTTTCTCTGTCACATGAGTAACTTCATTGGTCTCACCAGCTGTTCTAGAAAGAAAATCTGACTTTATCATGATCTTCTACTTCCCACAGCTGGTTTAACATTGGTAGAATTTGATCTGTAACACAGCCCTAAGTACATTGCAGGCTTTTCTCTGCATATCTGCCTATGAGCAGTGAATGTTTTGGGCTGCTGTTCTATTTTTATATCTGGCTTATATCAAAATCCCACACTGATTTGCTACTTTTTTGATGTGGCCGAAAAAATTTTAATTTCAACCATTGCAAAATACCACCAACATAGAATTAGCTCTTTCAGTGGGAAAAGCTTGTCTTACCAGCCATAAAGTACTTGTCCTTCTTTTTCCTTGTAAACAAAAACTTATTTTTTGCTTACACCACGGATTTCTCTTTTCAAAACCGCCAGTGCCAAGTGAATAATCTAGGAGGCTTTCTAATGCCATGTTCTTTCACTGACTAACAGATATTATAATAATCTTAATTCAATGGTTTAACACGTGAACAAAAGATCTCACTACATGATTCTCAAAGTCTTAAACCATAATGTTTTATACTATTCCATTTCAAATTAGAATATTTCTTTATAAACCTTTGGCAGAGTCTGACATTCCTCTGAGAATATTAGAAAAAATTGTTTAAAATGGTGAGCAAAGAACCCAGAATACTCTAAGGGGTGTTATAATCTGCAAGAAAATATCCCGCACTGTGAAATATTCAATCATAGGCTTTATGATGATGAACACCAACCAAAACATAGATGATCTTTTCTATTTTAGGGTGTAATCCAACTGATCGTTTTGTACCAGTATATGTTTGAATAATACGTGGACTTACCATATTAAAAAGAAGATGGAGAAAGACTTTTTTCACTGATGTTCATGTATAATAATCTAAAAAGACTCTGCTGAGATCTTGAGAATAACGCTTGCAGATCTATGACTGCTTTAGGAATTCAATTCCATCTGTATGCTCTAGTAAGGTCTCTTTGCTGCAGGTACATTGTATATTTTATGATACCAAAGAGGATAACAATGCAGCATGCAACAAGGGCACATTGCTAATAATCCCATTCCCATTAAATATTTAGAATTCTGTCATATTTCATAATCGGAACATAGAAGTAACAAATTAGAACAACTCCATGCTGATGAAAATTACTAATTAAGTATTAAAAGCTGTGAGAGGAAGCCATTGCTTGAAAACAAAATCCTCAAAGGGAGAGAAAAGATGCAGTTGCAATAATTTCTAAATGTTCTTTTCCCTTTTTTTTTTTTGTTTTCATATTGCAGTATTAGGACAAGAACAGAAATTCCTGAATGCTAAACTGTCTGTAATATTGAAAGAAATAATTTGTTCTCTTCCATATTTTCTCATCTATAAAATCAAAATATTACTGCTTACAGGGGCTCAGGGCAATTCTCATCAGAAGTGGTAAACCTTAATGCTACTCCTTAGTTTGCAGTGACGCCCCTTAGGTTTTGCATTGAGTCAGACCCTGATACAAATAATAGCAGCTCTAATGCTATTCCAGTTGAAGCAATGGATACAGCTCTTTGGCTCTGCAGCTCTTACTGCATCATGAGATTGGAACTATTTGATAGCACTCACAGTGGGAGCTACAGCCCCAGCAGGCTCCAACAAAGAATGTATTTGAGCTTCCCTCAGCTTTCAGACAGTTTTTAAAGGTTTACCCAGAGATCCTGATGAGCAATACAGAGCTACAAAGCTATGTCCACTGTTCGGCAGCACCTACATGGGAGAAGTGCAGCATAATCTGAAAGACATGCAGGAATGCCACTGAACTCTCCACCATTTAAGCCACCCAGATTTTTGTTTGCTCTGTGCAGTCAGATCAGAACAAAGCAGACAGGCTAAGGCTGGGCTTCACAAGTGTTGAGTAATACTGATTATAACTTTTGATGTCAAAACATTGTCCATTTTCCTTTTTTGAAGGAAATAAGTACAAAACCACTAGCGATTAAATGTTATAACTCCTTTCTAGGTCATCTTCCTACTAACAGATCAGTTATCGGTAATCAAATTTGAACTATTTTCTTACAAAGTAATTGCACCAAAAATCTGTCATAGCCCATAGGGATCTAGGAAGTAGATGAAAGTAAAATATCCCCAAATATAGTACAGTATAGTTGTTGGGTATTCCAGAAATTTAGGAATATTCTTGCACCTATATTTTAAATCTAATAACCGAAAAATGCATAAGTATTTCCAAAAGACAATTTTTATTATCAGATACCCAAATGATTTTACACTGTATAAACAAGTTGTGGACAGTTGCTAAAATTATTCTATACTTTACTTCTTTTGACTTCAGACTTTAGCCTTTTCAATCTGGAATACCAGTATTTTCAGATTAGTATTTTGTATCTGAAATTTAACAATAGAACTAAAACCAGTTATGATTCTTTAAATCACAATTAAATGATTAAATGATTAAATCACAAATCATACCAAGTGTTCATTTGATATGGTGCAGCACAGAGATGTCTACAAGTAGTGACTGATTCAATACTATCCATAACACATTTTTCTATCATACGCTTCCTTAGTGTACATATGTAGATGGTGTGACTTTCCTGGAATTTTGATGTACGCATTAAGATATCCATTTAGAGTTTTGTTTTTTTTTTTTTTTTTTTACATGTTTACTTGCTTTGCTTAGTGTGAGAGGAACTATTTTTAAATTTAATATTTGCTGAATTAGGCTCTAAATCTCTTACGCTCTCAACCAAAAAAGCTGATAGTCTTAGACACTCATGGTATGTTAAATAGCTATAAGCTGATGGTCCTCAGGGACAACCTAAGACATCCTCTCCTTCGCAATATGTTAATGTCCCACAAGCTTTTTGAGTAGTGTGAGAATTTCAAAAACTGACTCTCAGCATTTGATATATTGGTTGATGTAGGTATGCCTGTGAATGGCATCAGATAGATCAAATACAATGATGGAAGATTTATAAATGCTTGTGTAACATAGCAAAAAGACTTTCTAAGAGACAGAGTAAATCTTAGGGCCAGCATATGCAAAGCTCTAATAATATGACCAAGAAACTTCCAATTAGTTGTAGTTATTAATCAACTGTATGTTATTAGTTTTAGATGCTAAAACCAGAACTCTTGCTAGAAAAATCTAGATGAGAAACAATAATGCGACATAGAGCCTATTTTCAAAATAAGTGTTTCAAAGTATCTTCAAGATGTATTGTATCTTCCTTTATCACCTGCTCAATGCAAGAAAGAAATCAAGTGTTTCATGCTGGGATTTATAATCTCTATGGACCGTACCATGATATCAAAGATTAAGTCAGCTACCATCTGCTCCATTTTATGCAAAATAGATGTGGCCCTTGAACTTCTGGCAATTTTCCAATTCAATCCTCCATGCAGATTTCTAACACTCCTGCTTTACAGGATATCCTATTATTCAGCTTAGACGTTAAGTTTTACTATTCACAGTCAAGTATTTGTTGACCATGTGGACTGTGACACAGTGGCAGGGCAGAAAGGTGTTTAGTCTTGTTTTTTTTAAAAAACCTTAGGAGAATGTTCTGAAACAGTGTATATTTAAATATACTTGCATTATAATGAATCAATTTCATTCTTTACCACCAGGTGTCTGCTAGTGTTACAAGAGTGCCCAATTATTAGGCTTTACTCTTTTAACCTTTGATTATTTTCTTTTTAAATACACAAATCCTGTTGCACTGCTAACTTAAAATTAAAGACTAAAGACTTAAAAATATGATTAACATACAATTCAAGCAAGAGGCCTGATGCAAACAAACATTTTAGCAAACTCAGCCATATCGTTGCAGTGAACTAATTTTAATTTTATAGAGAACTTGCAGAATTTGAGTCCTTTTTCAAGATATCATTCAACTTTGATAATGTTAAAGGATAATTTGTCTCAGTTGTCAATACCTCTTAAAAATCTTGGTTAGACAGTTATATTATTCCATATATTTTCATGCTGGCATTTTATTACCTGAGGCTGAGGTAATACTTTGTAGTTACTGTTAGAAAGAAACTTGTAATATATATATATATCTTCAGAGATTCCATATGTGGTGGAATGCTGTGGATCTCTGTTCAAAATGTACTGCAAATTAAAATTGTGTTTGTTCCATTTCAAGTATGTGAAACATCCTAGTGATGTTTGATTACATACTAAAAATTCACTTGTGCTTGGTTTTTCATTTATTAAAAAATTAACAATAGATTATTTTTCCAAAAATCACACCGTGGTCTGCCTCTATATTTTTTAAATTTTATTTTAAAATGTTGGAGGAGAACATGAAGTATAACTCCAAAAAGCCATACTTTTTTCTAAGTCATGTTTTTAAATTTTACTACTTATTATCAGGTAAGATAGGAATCAAGAATAGCAGGCATACAAAGGTGAAATTAATTCACCTTTTGAACTCTCAATGTGCACATATTTAGGATTAGTCCTAAACAGTTTATCAAATCCAGGGACCCATTCATATTCAGATAAAGTCTGTGATAGCAGGGGTTTCTTATCTTCAAAGAAGGAGAGAATTCAGAATCTCAATACAAAGAGGAACCCCATACTCCTGATAAGAAGTGTAAATCTTTCCTTTGAAGACTGACACTATGAAGGATTCCTGCTCAGAGAAGCCAGAGCAATATTTTAAAGTAACATCTGGACTTAGATATCATACCTTACAAAATGCAAATATTTTTATGAGACTGTGCTAGAAGGTGGAACTTAGGGGAACTAAAGTGGTTACTATAGCAGACTTGACTAAAACAGTAGCTATGCTGGAAGTGGC